AGTGATTAACATGTGAGGGCTGAACATGAAGAACATCAGTGTTATAATTGAAGTGATTCATCGATAATGTTCTTCTTCAGGTGTGGCTGATGGAGGACGACCGACACATCCTGGCTGTTCTGTCGTGTCAGGATCGAGCACGGCGAGGAGGAGGAGGAGGAGGAGGAGGAGGAGGGGGAGGAGGAGGGGAGGTGGTGCTGAGTCCAAACAGTCTCACTGGTAAAATAATACAAGGTCAGTCTCTAAACTTTCTTCTTTCTCTGTCACTGTCTGTCGATGATGCCGACTGGGTGTCTTGAGACGTTTTATGAACGGGTTCCAGGATACAAACTTTAGAAAACATCACCGTCTCTGTCGTGTAAACTGAGAATATGCAGCTCCTCTGAAAACTGAGATATGTCGCACATGCTCAGTACGCTTCAAGTCAGAAGCCATGAGCGAGGAGTTGGACTACAACAAAAATGGCCGACTCCTGCGTTCTTTTCTTTTTTTTGAGAGGTTTTTTTTTTTTTTATTAAACATTTCTTTAAAATTTCTTGCAAATGTACAAATGTAAAAAAACTTGTTACAATGGTTACATTCTGGACACCATTGCCAAAGGAAACAGCTGTCATGTCAATAATTAACAGTTCATCATTTTAACAAATAGAAATGAAATGATAATGTCTTAAAGTGCAGTTAATGAGGTCTGGACTGAATATAAGAAAGAAATCAGATAAACAATGAATCAAATATACCTGGGCATATCAGTTTTCAGTTTCTGAGTCATTGGGAAAGTTTCTTCAAAATATCATAAACTGTTTGTGCTATTTTTCCTTTTACAAATTTTAAGGACCCAAAATTGGGGGATGACTTTCAAAATCTATTTTTGTGTATAAAGACTTTTGCGAGACACAGAATCACATTAATGCAGAGTTCATCATTTGTGCTGTTGAACATTATACCAGACGTAACATCCCGCCTCCTGCGTTCTGTTTGTTAAATTGACTCTCTTTGTAGTTTGGGGTCATTTGGAATAAAAACAAACGTTTTGTGTGTTAGTCATCTGTTTATATTCACTCCTCACCGCTCTGTAGAGGATGTGCACAAAGTCACAGCACCACCTACTGGCCGACGGTGTGTATTGCAGCGTTGTTAGTGTTTTTTTTCTTCTATGTTTTCGGAGGTTGTTTTCTGAACACAAACTTGTTTTTTAAAGGATTGTGTTTTGCGTGGCTCCTTGTCGTCTAACCGTGACCTCCACCTCTCCTCTGCCTGTCTGTCTGTCAGGAGGAGGCGTGAACCCGTCTCACCGCTCCTCCGACTGTCTCGTCATCACCATCATGGAGCTCCCAGAGGAGTCTCCGTCCTCGGACTCACTGAGCATGCTCAATGTGGTGGGTCTGTACCGCCCCCCCAGCCTGGACTCCCTGCCCTGCAACCTGCCGGCTCAGAAGTGTCGCGCCTGGACGTCCCGCAGCTTCCCGCGCTGCCTGCTGGGGGCGCTCTGCCTGGTCAGTACGTGGACAGTAAGTCTGATAGAGACAGGTGAGCAGGTGTGTCTGACAGGTGTCCTCTGTGTTCAGGTGTACTTCAGCTCACTGCCTCTGGGGATCTACCTGCTGATGATTGGTCAGCTGTGGCTGGGCGTGGTCCTGGTCAGTCTGGTCCCCTCCACGCTGCTGCTGCTCGTCCTCTACGGCTTCTGTCAGTGTCTGTGCCACGAGCTGATGGAGGTGCTCGCTGCACGCTCGCACACGCTGCCATGACGACGACACAACACACGCTGCTTACACCATACACTGCCATGACAACAAGACCATGCATGCTGCCATCACAACGACACACTGTAGACTGCTCTGACGACAACAGACGTTGCCATGAAAACGACAAAACCAGCTGCCATAATGACAACAACGACACGACACGTGCTGCTATGACAACGACAGATGATGCAACATGTTGACGGGCAAAACGCTTTCATGATTTTAAGACAAATAGGCTGGAACAAACACAGTCTGTATAAAAATATGGACGACACCACGGCTACTCAAAAGTGAAGCCAAAACATTTGGAGCTCCCCCCGCTGACAGGCTGCAGTATAGGTCATAAGCCCCGCCCCCTCCATGTTAACAGATGGGACATAGGTCTAATAATAAAATCAAAATCTCAAACGTGGTTTCTGTCATTAAAATGAGTTTTTATCACGCTGCTTTAATTCCTTATTTCATGATATTAAAAAAATGATGGCGTCATGATTGACAGCTCTGTTGACCAATGAGGCTCCTGCGTTGCTGTGTGTGATGATCAGATTAGAGGAGGAATAGCGAGCACAAGCATAACAAACACTAACCCAAGAACTTTAAACTTTCCCTGACCGTGTCTGCTTCAGGCAAACACAAGAATCTGTTCTGCTGCCGACTGAACCCACCTGAATGACCTTTGACCTTTTATCAGGAAGTCAAACATGTTGTGGTTAGAGGAAGGGGCGGGGCGTCTATACAGCAGCTCCACCAGCCGGTTTGAAAATGTCAGCTCTTGTCATGGAGGTTGATTTGGCTTCACTTTTGTGCAGCAGGATAACTAGATGTGTCGTCCATCTTTATATTCATAGCTTTCAGTCATGTGACCGACGCGGAGGCCTGGTGGGCAAAAACAGTTTAGGAAAGTGGCGTCCACCAATCGGAAACGACCTCAGAGAAACAGAGAACTGATGAAAGTCTACAAACGTTCAGACAGATTTATGTATTTTCGATGTGAAGTTTGAGAAGAGAAGTGCAAAAAATTCATCATCAAACGGGCTAATCATCTCATTATCGTTCATCTCGTAACTTGACCTCTCGTATCCCGCGGCAACGCCATGCAGCACAGGTCAGGTTTCAGGGCGCTCTAGAGCTTTCAGCTAACGATAGAATCAGGATCTCAGTCAGCTGTCAGTCAGTGTTCTGGGCAGAAATATTTAGATCAAATGAGCAGAATCTTTGATGTCAGGACGAGGAGACGTCGGTTCTTTATCTCGCTCACAGGGACAGCGGAGCGTCTAACGGCGTTCATCCACGATCTCCTGCTCTCTCCTTTAAAACATTCAAATCTGTAGAAGAACAACCCAGGCTTGTCTCACATTCGTCTTTAGTTTGAAAAATAAAACGTGTCAAAGCACATACAGAAGGTTGAGACCACGACTGATAACTTCTCCGTAGCGTGCAGCAGTGGGAAGCCTTTCTAGCCCGCCATGTGGGCGGTTCCATAAATGTGTGAAGTCACGTGAAAGCTATGAATACAGTCAACAGAAGGTTCATGCTGCCATGACAACCATAGCAACACATCACAGTTACTATAGCAACAACAACAGAACTGACCAGCAACACTTGAAACAGCAAAACAGCTTCTGACCACAAAACAAACAGAGCGCCGCGGCGAGCCACTCAGAACGCTTCAGCTCCAATTCTGGATCCAGAACATCAACACACCCAGAACTACAGAACTCACCTGAAGACTGACCCACCTGTGGACTCTGACCCCGCCCCCCTCTCTGAATACCAGCATTACTCCCCTCCTCCCTCCTTTGAAGCTACAACCAATCCCAGGACCAGGTGATGACATCATCACAGAAAGGAGGCGGAGTCTGTCTTCACTCACTCGTGTTTTACTGTGAAAGTTTTTTCTCTTTTCCGCCTCCTGCTGGTCGAAACCGTGAACAGAGATTTTTATTTTTTATGCAGAAACAACGGGCTCTGATGTCATAGTACACCTATCAGCCAATCAGAGGGGAGGTTGTAGACTGCTGCACAGACGTCACACTAGTTAACCATCAAACGTTTAACTGTTGAATATTATCAATATGTGTGAACCTGTTACTCGTCTTTGTCGACACTTATACTAATTAAACCCTCCTGTTCAGAGTCGGAGAGAACAAAGGGAAGTCTTGAACTGTTGGCCTAGAAGCAAAAGAAACAGGAAGTAGGAGTAAGATGTTCTGAAGCTACTCATGTGGAGATTACTGAATTCCTGCACAATCATTGCAAAGATCAAGAAGTTCACATGACTCAAATGATCCCTGATACACCAGACCCCTAAAAGTCAGGGTTGGTCATTTCCTCCAGATCCACTTCTTCAGATTCTGGTGTAAATTGTCTTTAGGTCCTGACTGAAATTAATAACTCATGTTCTCTGAAAAGGAACAAAGAAAATCCATCATCTGTATCAGTTTGTAAGTCTGTAAAAACTTTGACCAATGTCTGCCACGAGGTACCAATCTGATGAACCAATCAGACGCCTCCCTGTCTCCCTGCTCACTCTCTACACTCAAAGCTCGTCACCGATGACTTTAGGAGTTTATACTGAGAGTTTACTGACCGCTGAATGAGACATGAGACGACGTAGTTTCTACACAATGACAGAGATGAGCTGAGGGGGCGTGGCTTAAGAGGGAGCACAGAGGGGAGGGGGTGCAGACGGAGCACTGAGGGAATGCTACTTTCAAAATCAAGCTTCAAAATGACCAACCCTGCCTTTAAGTCTAAATCGACTGTAAGACAGGTGAACACTTAACCACGCTTCCAGTCTTTGTGCTAAGCTAGGCTAACAGTAACCTCCCTACAGTAGAGGTGATTTAATAATTGTTTGACTGTTCCTTTCAGTTTCCTGTCCTCTACAAAGTTTGATGTGGTGTTTGATTTATGACCTGTGATGATGATGATGAGGAAGACGATCAGGTGACACTGATGGTCGGCTCACCTGCAGAGGACGATGTGCCACTTCCTGTCTGTGTCGTGGGCGGAGCATGTGTTTGTTTTGAAATCTGGTAACATCAAATAAACTGCAGATGCACTGAAAATGACTCATTACACTTTAATATGTGACATTCTGAATACGTTTTAACGCCAACCCCTCCTTCTCTAACGAATGATGGTCGCACGACTCAGAAATCGTCCTGTAACCGTACATCGGACTTTAGGACTGCTGATGTAATTTAGCTTAGCTTTTGTTTTCAATGGCTAGAACAACTGAAGAGAGACAGGGAGGGGAGGAAAGAGTTGGGGTGACATGCATCAAAGGGCCGAGGTCGGACTTGAACCTTGAACCTGTCAGTCTGTAATGACCTGGGTTGGGAACTGGAAATTTAATCCCCTTGTGGGACCAATAAAGCACATCTTTCTCTTCTTCTAAAAAATGCAGGCAAACTTCTGCACGCTGTCTAAACTGCAAAGAAAAAAACCTGTTTGCAACAATTTTGAACGGAAACGTCGCCAACGCTTTGGTACAACCTGGACGGCGCTCGCTCTCTTTCGCTCGTGGCAGCTTTTGGTTAGAAATATAAGTAAAGATCTGCAGTTAATCTAGAGCTACGATATCTTTCACTACAATTAATCATTAAAATCACAAGTTTGTATTGCCTTGAAATACGCGGGAAAGTATCCGATATGTTGACAACCTTCATAAATATCAGCTGTTGGAGAAACAGATAAATAATAAACGGTTAAAGCTACAGAACAAACTCTGGTTGAAGATCAGGCGCCATTAAAAAACAGGATGATGGTGCAACATGTGAACGTCCTGTGTTACCTATCTTGAGACTACATGTGACTCTGAATGAGGTCCTTCTGGTTATAAATATCCACAGCTTAAGGGAGTCTACCTGGACAGGTGAATCACAAAGTGTGCCTGTGAGGCAGCGCTGAGGGTAAATTAAGGAGACCTCTGGGAGCTGAAAGCGTTAGGGCCTCAGCTGGGTCTAAAGTTTTTAATTAAAAACCCTCACAGTCCCCTGAGAGGAGAAGAAGAGTGTTTATAGAAACCTACCTGACACTGCGCAGTAATCCACCACAGAGAAGAAGAAGAAGGTGGATGTAGTCAGCAGCAGGTAGGTCGATGGATTGTTTTTTATTCCTCTTTCACAAATAAAACACGTCTTTATGATTTCTTTGACGAAAATATTTTGGTTTAATTTTGATAATTTCCTCATGTCAGATAATCCGTCTCAAACTGAATTCTGGAGTCTCACCTGCTTTCTCTGAACTCGACATGAGATTACAGATTTACATCATTTGTTTGTAGGGGCAACTTTCTGTAAAGGTGTTTAAATGACTTACGGTCATGAGGTGTGGTTAGTGCCTGAAAGAATGAGATTGAGGATACAAACAGCCAACATGAGCTTCTTCTTGAGGGTGTCTGAGCTCAGCCTGAGAGACAGGCTGAGGAGCTCACTGACGAGCTGCCAGCTGAGGTGGTTCAGGCATTTGATCAGGATGCCTCCTGGTTGCCTCCCTCTGGAGATCTTCTGGGCATGTCCAACTGGGAGGCAGACCCGGGGCAGACCCAGAGCTCGCTGGAGGGATTATATATCCCTTCTGGCCTGGGAACGCCTCGTGATCCCCCAGGAGGAGGATCTGGAAAACCACTGCCACGGATAAACATCCTTCTCCGTTTATTTCATTGTAGAGATTCCACATTTTCCTTGATGATATCCAAATTTAAAGGTAGAGTCAGCAGCTTTCTCCTTCAAAATAAAATACATCTCCTAAATTGAAGCTGCTCCATTGTCCCTTCTGGGCCTCCATTCATGTGTGGTGGTGACTGTGTCTGCAGAGACTCTGTCCTCTGACTGGATTTTACTGTTCTGATTTGTTCTGGTTGACTCGGGACGTTTCTGGGCAGAGCTGGTGTGTTTCCTCCAGCCAATGACAGCGCATCACAATTCAGTGATTGGACGAGATTCAAACCGGTGAATATGATGGACGTGGACGTAGCAGCAAAGAAGAGAAAATATAATCCTAGAGCCCGTTCACACAGAGACACGTCGCTAGAGAAGCGAAAACAAATAATTCACTCTCTAAGAATAACATCAGATTTGACATCTCTTCCCTGTCCCTTTCTTACCTCCCCTTACTCCCTGGCAGGTGGTCGATGACATCATGAGTCGGTGGCGTCGTTCAGTGGATGAGCTGGCAGTGCGGCGGCGGCAGCAGAGCGAGTGTGAGCGTGCTCAAGAGGTTCTCAATCGAGTCACTTCCTGTTTCCACAGCTGGCGGCGTCGCTCGGTAGCTCGGCTGACTGCAGTTTCCTGCGAGACGAGATGGACGAGACTCGAGCAGTGGCGCACCGGATCTGCAGCGGTACGAGGGCCTTTACCTGTCTGTCTCTCTGCTTCCTGTCTGTCTGCAGGTCTGACTGTGTCTACATCTCACCTGTCTGCAGGTCTGTCCCGGCGTCTAGTGCGTCTTCTCTCAGACTGTGACTCCGCCTCCTCGGGCGATGAGGACAGACAGCTGTCGGAGCGTCTGTGGGTTCTCTTCCTGTCTGCACTGGAGACATTCCTGTCTGACCTTCGTAAGCCTTGGCTCTGATTGGAAAGTTCCCCCTGACTCAGCGCTACGACAGACGCTCACTCATCAACTCAGGTCAACTGATGGCTTCAACTCAGCGCCCTCCGTGTCTTAGTGTTATTCCTTCATACTTCACCGTCCTGTTTCCCTTATTCCTTGCTAAGTATAAATCACCTGCTTTCCTTGTATGAGACGTCCTCTTGTCTCTCCGTCTCTTCAGGATGTATTGATGGCGTGGTTGGCGTTGCAGCTCGGGTTGCTTCAGCACAGGTACCATGGCTCACCTTGGAGGAGGAGCCGATCCCTGAACTGGCTGATCACATAGCAGGACTGGAGACCATGCTGAGTGAGATGCAGCTCAGGGTAAGAGCCAGTCGGATGGAACAATTCCTAAGGGGTTGGGTAGGTAGTATCAGCATCGTCGCTCCCTGGAGCCTGGGTCTGTTGAAGGTGGCAATGCTGGTTGGGCTGTGACGGCCATGTTGGGAAGTAGGTCAGATAAAGAAGTTCTACGTCGGGGTGTGGTGGGCAGTGAGAGCTAGCATGAAGCCGGAGCGATCTCTCCAGCCTTCCCAAGGTGTTGTGTGACTAATTGGGCCAAACACCAGAGAAGAGAGATTCCCCGGAGAGGTCCTGGCTCTTACTGCCCATCAGTCTACACGGTTGAGTTGTGGGGGCCGATAGGGGCCATGTGGCAAGGCAGGTAGCAGGGCTGTGCCACTACCTGGTAGCTCACATAAACAGAGCCTGGGTCTGTCGAAGGTTGCATCTCTGATAAGGTCATGTAACTTATCAGTAGGATATAGGGGCATACATGAGACGAGGGGTTTCTTGACTGAGCGCTTATCCAAGTATCTCAGGTCTATTTCAAATTCCTCTGTCAAACAGATGGAACATGAAAGGTTTAACCGTAACCTGAGACAAGTCTTCAGGTAGAACTCAGTCCTGTGCCTTGTCAGGGTGTTTGCGTTGATGTGGGGTTTGGGAGTCTAGCACCTTGAGGTAATTTCTTATACATGGGAGCACTTATTGTAAAAGGAGGTAGTTTCCTTTTAAAAGGGGGGAAGCATGTGAGTATCTGGGGGGAGAACTCTGTACTGGGGAATACATATAAATGTTGGTCATATTGTCTTGTAACTGGAGGGATGGTCTAGTTGACCATACCTTGAAGTATGGCCCTGCACCAAGGACTAATGTCTTTTCACCAGAGGCTCGTCTGCTAGCCAGAAGCATTTATTCTACCATGGGGAAAATGTTTTGAAATTATCAAGCCCCCAAGGACTTACATGGGGATAGGCACTGACTGGGGCAGTGACTTGTGAGAAGGGAGGGAGCATCATGCCTTTAGGAGAATCTGGTACCATGGAGCGTGTCTTGTAACAGGAGGGAGAACCTCTCGCCTGGGAACATGAATCTAATGTTGGAGCATTTACTTTAGTGAAGGGTAGCCTGTTTGTTATCCAGAAGAAATTGGGAAACCTCTTTGGGCAAAGAATCCCGATCAGGAGGCGCATGTATCCCGTTGAGTATTTCAATATCTGTGAACAGCATCTTCTGGGGGGGACAGCATTAGACCCCGAGGCATGGCTTGTTGCTCTGCGGTAAGCGGTACTGTTGGGATAGTGTCTTCTTGTACCTGTTAGCTCATCAGGTACCTTGGAGCACTCATGGTACCTGATGGTTTTATCCTGTAACTGGTGGGGGAGCCTTAAACTCAGGAACTAACTTCTAACATGGGTCTTTACACTTGTTCATGTTCTCAGGTTCCTGTTGCATTCTGGTCAGTGGAGGCGACCCAGCCGGCCTGGGCTGAAGCTCACTGTGAACTGGACGAGCCAGACGACAGCCTGGAGGACCTGATGGAGGTCGAGGTCGTCTCTTACAATAAGATGGCCGTCTGCTGCCAGGCACCGTGCTGCGGACTGAGTTGTGTCGGTTAAAGTACAACCTCTGACGTCAACGTGACCCCACTGACAGCAGGATACTTGTGTCTTTTTATCAACCATTAGAGACCACTTAAAGATACTAGACCCTTTAACTTGGTAAGACCGCTGTGATAGCAAGGACCAGCATCAAAGTAGAAGCTTTTCACCAGAAATAATAATAAAAAATAAATGTGTCATATCACTTAAAGAAAACCAGATAAATATAGTTTGCGGCATGTTTCAGCTGTCGCATTTGTTTTAGATGTTTGCTGTGTTTTTCTTAAAGTCCCATATTATGCTTTTTCTGGTTTTATCTGCTCTTTAGTGTGTTTTCCAAGTGTCCTGTGCATGTTTAGGCACATCTATTTGCAAAAATTCAAAGTCCGCGGAAACACGGCTTCTCCTACGTCCTCCTGTTAGCTGTAGCATTAGCCGCATGTAATGCTCAATTCTAGCCCCCCTCGATAAAAATTTGTCAGTCCGACGTCATTGTCAGTGTGAGATCACTGACCTAAGCTCATTGGCTCGTTATGGCCCACCCGTTAACTTCTGTAGCACGCCCACGATATGCTGTAGCCTGCGGTAGCACAGTAGTGCGAAGGTGCTAATGTTTATGCTCCCCTCACACTTCTATCTGAACCACTTCTCTTGACCGCTTCCATCGCTGCAACACCTGTTGACCTGATAACTGCTCTCATATCTGGCAAACCGAGGGGCGTCCAAAACGGCCGTGTGGGGGGGTCTTAAAAGCGCCTACCTTCTCTGGTCCAAACAAATCCAGAGCATTCAGGAGCAGAATGTAAAGTTAGAAGGAGGACATACTGGCTGCTGCATTGTTGTCAGAGAAGCCAGCACTTCAACATAGCATGTTTCCTTAATGATCAGAGAGTAAGATACCTTTATCTATGCCTCGCTTAAATTTTACCACTTAGGTCACAGAATATTTTCCACAATTATCCATCTTATCCTTTTGTTACTGATGGTTTTATAGTCTCTCTGTTTTCTGTTGTCACTTTATGTTCTCTCGTGCTCATGTTGTTAATGTGCCTGTGAAACAAATTTCCTAATCTGGGACAATAATGTTAACACTGATCTGAATCTGATAAATCTGTCAAAGTGTAATTGGTACTCTTTGAAGCGTCGCCACGTTCATATGGAAAATAAAACAGCAACCATGAATAACAGCTCTAATTTCAGTAAGTTTCTGCTCATCCCTTTGAAACTGGATGATACCTGAAACGCCCTGCAGAGAAAGAACTCCATAAACAATCACAGCTAACATTATAAAAATATAACCCTACCTTTTATGTGTAACACTAAGGCACCTGACCACCTGGCATTTTTTCCGTGTAGAAAAGCGCTAGCTGTGCGCTCGGGAACAAATGCATGAAACGTCTGTGCTCTGAGGAAAAGTGCTGCACGTCCGTCCAGTCTCTATGCTGCTGTATGACCAACACTGCTCAGTTCACTTTTTACTGCATGTTTTATATTTGAATTTTTTTATTTCCCAAGGCTGATTTCTGCTGCAGACGCTTTCTACTCATTGGAAACAAGTTAAAAATAAAGATGCTGGCACTCAAAAATATGCCAGGTGGACACAGGGCCTTAGAGTTCATATATTTGATAAAGTAGTCTCTCTATGTTTTATGTTGTGAAAGTCAGATTTCCTGACACACCGAACAGCAGCATCACAAACAGTCCGAGTGTTGAATTAAGAATTTTATTGATACGGCGAGGTGAACAAACATAAAAATATTGTACAAACACAGAAGACGAACACAAGAAGAAACGAGGAGCAGCTTCACTTCTGGAAGGTCGAGTTTAGATGAGCTTTGAAGGCTGAAAGAGAGAAACAGCTGTTAGAACTACAACTCCCATCAGCTTGACAAGACGAGTTAATGAGACTGACAGAGAAGAGATCACCGACTGATCGATTATAAACACAACACAAACAAACATCTGAATTATTGACAGGTGTTGCCCCTAATCATCAGTGAACATGAATGATGTCAGGTCATTAAAATAGTCTGAATAAATCTCACCTTCCTGGTCGTCCCAGAGTTCAGCAGCAGCCGTGTTCAGAGGACTCTGGTTGTTCGGTTCTGAGAGGAAAACAAACAAACACGAGTCTTTAAAGGACAAAAAGAAACCACTTACTCAAACGTCCTGCACATTAAGGATGCACTCGCAGTTCCACTAGTGAGTGATCCGATCTGTAGAAATACCTCAGCGCCACAACAAACTCACATTCAAAGCTAAAAGTGAAATCCTCTCATCTTGGACACTTCAGGTAAGTCTGTTTACAGGACTGTTACCTCTGCCCTCCTCAGGTCAAACATAAAGCACTTTAACATAAAACACAGAGGAACTGTTACTATGACCCACACATTGTCCGTACGGCCTAAAGTTCCACTGATGGCCAGCGTCCTGGAGCATGCAGAGTGCAGCCAGGAGCAGCTGTACACACATCTCAAAAGAACTACAAGATCACAGGAGAGAACTACAAGATCACAGGAGAGAACTACAAGATCACAGGGGAACTACAAGATCACAGGGAAACTACAAGATCACAGGAGAGAACTACAAGATCACTCGAGAATAAAGAGAAACGGTCAAACAACGGTCTGACTTCCTGTGCCTGCTCCGTTGAAAATGAATAATAATCCAGGTGAGACTGAACATTGATACATATCATCAGGTGTGTGAACTGGTGTAACTGGTTACCTCCAAGCAGGCTCTGGATTGACAGCAGGATGGAGCGGACGTCGTAGAGCGCCGACCATTTGTCCTTCAGGATGTCGAGACAGATTGAACCGTTTTCATCGACGTTGGGATGAAAACACGACGTGACAAACTTTACATGAGGAGCCTGATACGGATAACCAGCCGGGAACTCCAGAGACAGCCTGTACCTGAGCCCGTCGTACACCTGAGAGACAGACAGGTCAGACAGACAGAGACAGGTCAGACAGACAGCACTTTGCCCGACCATAACGACTCCCTTAATTTTATATCGAAGGTGAGACGCTACAGTGGTGTAAATATCCTGTCTAAAACTGGCCATATAAATCAGGCTAGTGTGTGTGTGTGTGTGTGTGTGTGTGTGTGTGTGTGTGTGTGTGTGTGTGTGTGTGTGTGTGTGTGTGTGTGTGTGTGTGTGTGTGTGTGTGCATACCGTCCCCTGAGGTCCCTCGATGGTTCCGACCCATTTGAAGAGATTATCTGATTCTGGAAACGCTGAGATTCCTTTATCACCCGACATCTGCAGAAGAAGAGAGAGAGACAGATGGAGGTCAGGATAAGCCACCAACTACAACTCCCAAGATGCATTTCACTGACGAACATCCAATCACTGAGCTGTACAGTGACAACATTTTGATTTTACAGGTTCAGATTGTGAATCAAAGGTGATAAACGTATTTAAACTCACCATCAGAGTCATGAGCTCTTTTTGTAACCTGCAGAGAAAAAACATCAGAAACAAAGTTATCACATGCTGTAGTTCTGATATGTTATCAGCCTACAGCTTAGAATAGATTTATTTGACATTTTGCAGCATAGTTACAAGCAGTAAACATACACACTAACCCTGCAGGGGGCGATGAGCCCAGGAGGAGGGGCTCAGTTTAAATGTTGTGTTTACAAGCTGCATCTCTACTGACTCCACCTTTAAAGAGTCCATATTATATATAACACAGTTTTTAAATATCTGTTTTTCTCTATATTTTACACAAAAGGTTTACAACGTCTTCCTCCTGAAGCCAAAGAAAGCATTTTATTATAACCTCTACATTGGCATCAATGAATGTGAGGGTAGTTTTGAAAGTCTGACCTGACTTTATCAACATGTGGTTAAAGTGTGATCATCACACCTGGACCTCCAGGGAACAGGTGGACATGTCCACATACCGGGGGGTATGCCATGTGTCTATTGTGCAGCCCTAAGCAGTATGTTAGTATCGAACCATTAGGTACCGGAGGACACACTCACCGTTTGGACACCGAGCCTTTGGCCGCGCTGCCGCCGCTCTCACTGCCCTTCAGAGCAGCTGTGGAAGAAGCTGCTGCCGCTGCAGGATCCATATTCTGGGAAGCCATGAGTTCAAACTGTGCGGTTCCTGCAGGAGACAAACAAGTCAGTCCGGGACACAGCGGGACTCAAACCCAACACACAGACCTCAGACTGCGGGAATCAAACCCAACACACAGACCTCAGACTGCGGGAATCAAACCCTGCACACAGACCTCAGACTGCGGGACTCAAACCCAACACACAGACCTCAGACTGCGGGACTCAAACCCAACACACAGACCTCAGACTGCGGGACTCAAACCCCGCACACAGACCTCAGACTGCGGGACTCAAACCCAACACACAGACCTCAGACTGCGGGACTCAAACCCAACACACAGACCTCAGACTGCGGGACTCAAACCCAACACACAGACCTCAGACTGCGGGACTCAAACCCAACACACAGACCTCAGACTGCGGGACTCACACCCAACACACAGCCCTCAGACTGCGGGACTCAAACCCAACACACAGACCTCAGACTGCGGGACTCACCCCACACACAGACCTCAGACTGCGGGACTCAAACCCAACACACAGACCTCAGACTGCGGGACTCACACCCCACACACAGACCTCAGACTGCGGGACTCAAACCCAACACACAGACCTCAGACTGCGGGACTCAAACCCAACACACAGACCTCAGACTGCGGACTCAAACCCAACACACAGACCTCAGACTGCGGGACTCACACCCAACACACAGACCTCAGACTGCGGGACTCACACCCAACACACAGACCTCAGACTGCGGGACTCACACCCAACACACAGACCTCAGACTGCGGGACTCAAACCCAACACACAGACCTCAGACTGCGGGACTCAAACCCAACACACAGACCTCAGACTGCGGGACTCAAACCCAACACACAGACCTCAGACTGCGGGACTCACACCCAACACACAGACCTCAGACTGCGGGACTCACACCCAACACACAGACCTCAGACTGCGGGACTCACACCCAACACACAGACCTCAGACTGCGGGACTCAAACCCAACACACAGCCCTCAGACTGCGGGACTCAACCCAACACACAGACCTCAGACTGCGGGACTCACACCCAACACACAGACCTCAGACTGCGGGACTCAAACCCAACACACAGACCTCAGACTGCGGGACTCAAACCCCGCACACAGACCTCAGACTGCGGGACTCACAGACCTCAGACTGCGGGACTCACACCCCGCACACAGACCTCAGACTGCGGGACTCACACCCCGCACACAGACCTCAGACTGCGGGACTCACACCCCGCACACAGACCTCAGACTGCGGGACTCAAACCCAACACACAGACCTCAGACTGCGGGACTCACACCCCGCACACAGACCTCAGACTGCGGGACTCACACCCCGCACACAGACCTCAGACTGCAGGACTCACAGACCTCAGACTGCGGGACTCACACCCCGCACACAGACCTCAGACTGCGGGACTCACAGACCTCAGACTGCGGGACTCACAGACCTCAGACTGCGGGACTCAAACCCCGCACACAGACCTCAGACTGCGGGACTCACAGACCTCAGACTGCGGGACTCACACCCCGCACACAGACCTCAGACTGCGGGACTCACAGACCTCAGACTGCGGGACTCACAGACCTCAGACTGCGGGACTCACACCCCGCACACAGACCTCAGACTGCGGGACTCACACCCCGCACACAGACCTCAGACTGCGGGACTCAAACCCAACACACAGACCTCAGACTGCGGGACTCAAACCCAACACACAGACCTCAGACTGCAGGACTCACAGACCTCAGACTGCGGGACTCACAGACCTCAGACTGCGGGACTCACAGACCTCAGACTGCGGGACTCACACCCCGCACACAGACCTCAGACTGCGGGACTCACACCCCGCACACAGACCTCAGACTGCGGGACTCAAACCCAACACACAGACCTGTGAAGGTCCCCCTGCGTCCCGAGCCCGGCTGGGCGTTAGCAAACAGCAGCTAATTGTTAGCCTATGGGTGAATCACTGATTAATATTAATCCGGTAAACGGAGAGTTTTACTGCCCGGTGTGAACCGTGTTCTAACAGCCGCTTACCGGTTGTGTGAGTTAACGTTAGCTTCATCTGCTCTGGTTTAGCAGCGGTTCCGTTTTAGCTTCATGCTAACGGTAGCAGCGCAGTTAGCGTTAACTGGCAGGTTAAACTATCATTATTTCTGCCATCAGACGGATTATAATTTAAAGAAAACAAATCACCATAAACATATAAATATGTAAACATTATCAGGTGTATAAAAACAGGTGATAAATCTACCTGTAGGGTTCACCGTGTAGGTCCGAGCTGAGATTCTGTTCCTCTGATTCAAACTGAACTAACTCCCGCCCCCAAGTTTAAAACGACGCTTCCTCTCACATGCAGCCAATCAGCGACCTACTTTTAAAAACAAACCAGATCCTGCAGGCCAATGAGAGGTAAGCTCAAGGAAGCAACAGCTATGCGATTGGTCAGGAGGAGCATCCGTATTACCATTATGATACATTGGAAAGAAAACACAAGAGAGATTAAGCTTTATTTAAAATAAGAAAATAAATAAAATAAAAAATAAAATAAAGAAAGAAATAAAGAAAGAAAAGAAAGAAAAGAAAGAAAAGAAAATAAAGAAAGAAAATAAAGAAATTAACCTGTATTCATTCTTTATTCAGCACGGTTGATTAACTAACAGAAAATAGAATAGAATGAAATTAAATGTTATACAATTCACTACTATATGTAAATCAATTAACAAATAAAACTTAAATGAAGCTGCATTGTGTGTATATATATATATATATATATATATATATATATATATATATATATATAAAAACGGGTCTTGAGTTTGGTTATTTTTAGTTTTACTCCTGTACAGCAGGCGGCGGTAACGACTGTCTCAACCGCTTTTTAACTCAACGAAGAAGAATCGACGCCTTGTTGTGAAAGAAGTACTTCCGGTGTGTCGCTAACACTCAGTGAAGATGAACGCGCCTCCCGCCTTCGAGTCGTTTCTGTTGTTTGAAGGAGAGAAGAAGATCAGCATCACGAAAGATACCAAAGTTCCTAATGCGTGTTTGTTCACCCTGAACAAGGAGGACCACACTCTGGGAAACATCATCCGAGCGTAAGAGGCTAACCGTGCTAACAGCATGCTAACCGTGCTAACAGCAAGCTAACCGTGCTAACAGCATGCTAACCGTGCTAACAGACAGTACAGGAGATATTTTCAACTATTACACATTAAAATGACGTAAACCGGGTTATAACTGTGTGTGTGTGTGTGTGTGTGTGTGTGTGTGTGTGTGTGTGTGTGTGTGTGTGTGTGTGTGTGTGTGTGTGTGTGTGTGTGTGTGTGTGTGTGTGTGTGTGTGTGTGTGTGTGTGTGTGTGTGTGTGTGGTGTGTGTGTGTGTGTGTGTGTGTGTGTGTGTGTGTGTGTCAGTCAGCTGTTAAAGGATCCTCAGGTTCTGTTTGCTGGTTATAAAGTTCCTCATCCTCTGGAACACAAGATCGTCATCAGAGTGCAGACAACACCTGACTACAGCCCACAGGTAACACACACCTGACTACAGCCCACAGGTAACACAGACCTGACTACAGCCCACAGGTAACACACACCTGACTACAGCCCACAGGTAACACACACACACACCTGACTACAGCCCACAGGTAACACACACACCTGACTACAGCCCACAGGTAACACACACCTGACTACAGCCCACAGGTAACACACACACACACCTGACTACAGCCCACAGGTAACACACACTGACTACAGCCCACAGGTAACACACACACACCTGACTACAGCCCACAGGTAACACACACCTGACTACAGCCCACAGGTAACACACACCTGACTACAGCCCACAGGTAACACACACCTGACTACAGCCCACAGGTAACACACACCTGACTACAGCCCACAGGTAACACACACCTGACTACAGCCCACAGGTAACACACACCTGACTACAGCCCACAGGTAACACACACCTGACTACAGCCCACAGGTAACACACACACACCTGACTACAGCCCACAGGTAACACACACCTGACTACAGCCCACAGGTAACACACACCTGACTACAGCCCACAGGTAACACACACCTGACTACAGCCCACAGGTACACACACACCTGACTACAGCCCACAGGTAACACACACACACCTGACTACAGCCCACAGGTAACACACACACCTGACTACAGCCCACAGGTAACACACACACACCTGACTACAGCCCACAGGTAACACACACACACACCTGACTACAGCCCACAGGTAACACACACACACCTGACTACAGCCCACAGGTAACACACACACACACCTGACTACAGCCCACAGGTAACACACACACACCTGACTACAGCCCACAGGTAACACACACACACCTGACTACAGCCCACAGGTAACACACACACCTGACTACAGCCCACAGGTAACACACACACCTGACTACAGCCCACAGGTAACACACACACCTGACTACAGCCCACAGGTAACACACACACCTGACTACAGCCCACAGGTACACACACACACCTGACTACAGCCCACAGGTAACACACACACACCTGACTACAGCCCACAGGTAACACACACACACACCTGACTACAGCCCACAGGTAACACACACACACACCTGACTACAGCCCACAGGTAACACACACCTGACTACAGCCCACAGGTACACACACACACACCTGACTACAGCCCACAGGTAACACACACACCTGACTACAGCCCACAGGTACACACACACCTGACTACAGCCCACAGGTAACACACACCTGACTACAGCCCACAGGTACACACACACACCTGACTACAGCCCACAGGTAACACACACACCTGACTACAGCCCACAGGTAACACACACACACACCTGACTACAGCCCACAGGTAACACACACACACACCTGACTACAGCCCACAGGTAACACACACACACACACCTGACTACAGCCCACAGGTAACACACACACACACCTGACTACAGCCCACAGGTACACACACACACCTGACTACAGCCCACAGGTAACACACACACACCTGACTACAGCCCACAGGTAACACATACCTGACTACAGCCCACAGGTAACACACACCTGACTACAGCCCACAGGTAACACACACACACCTGACTACAGCCCACAGGTAACACACACACACCTGACTACAGCCCACAGGTAACACACACACACCTGACTACAGCCCACAGGTAACACACACCTGACTACAGCCCACAGGTAACACACACCTGACTACAGCCCACAGGTAACACACACCTGACTACAGCCCACAGGTAACACACACCTGACTACAGCCCACAGGTAACACACACCTGACTACAGCCCACAGGTAACACACACCTGACTACAGCCCACAGGTAACACACACCTGACTACAGCCCACAGGTACACACACACCTGACTACAGCCCACAGGTAACACACACACCTGACTACAGCCCACAGGTACACACACACCTGACTACAGCCCACAGGTAACACACACACCTGACTACAGCCCACAGGTAACACACACCTGACTACAGCCCACAGGTAACACACACACCTGACTACAGCCCACAGGTAACACACACACACACTGACTACAGCCCACAGGTAACACACACACACCTGACTACAGCCCACAGGTAACACACACACACCTGACTACAGCCCACAGGTAACACACACACACCTGACTACAGCCCACAGGTAACACACACACACCTGACTACAGCCCACAGGTAACACACACACCTGACTACAGCCCACAGGTAACACACACACACCTGACTACAGCCCACAGGTAACACACACACCTGACTACAGCCCACAGGTAACACACACACACACCTGACTACAGCCCACAGGTAACACACACACCTGACTACAGCCCACAGGTAACACACACACCTGACTACAGCCCACAGGTAACACACACACACCTGACTACAGTCAAGTAGTGATGTTGTTATTGATGATGCGTTTTGTTAACAGGAAGCATTTACGAACGCCATCACTGACCTCATCAGTGAGCTCTCTCTGCTGGAGGAACGCTTCAGAGTCGCCATCAAAGACAAGCAGGAAGGGATAGAGTGAAGTCCCGCCCTCCTGATGATGTCACTTCCTGTTTGTAGTACCTGTTTGTGTTTGAATGTTGTTGTATTTTTATAAATAAAGTGTGTGATGTCATTGAGTGTGTGATGTAACCTTCAGTAAGAAGCAGCGATGGTGGGACACCTGTGATGTCACAACAGATAAAACTGGTTTGATCCAGATCAGACCGGAAAGCTTTCACACAGACGGTCAACAGGTTACAAAAGATGTTTTTATTTTATAAAAAGCAGTAAATATAAAAACAGAAGCAGCCAATCAGAGCCTGATGGTCACATGATCAATCCCTGCTCCCTGATTGGCTCGTCAGTTTCTACAAACTCTTGCAGGTTTTTTTTTCCCTCCAGTTAGGGGTTCAGGGGTCAGAGTCTCTCTGAGCCTCCATGGCTCTCTGCATCTTCTCCACCATCCACAGAGGAACTGAGAACGGCTTGATCTCATCCACCCTGACCTCCGGACAGTCCCTGCGCACACGCACACACACACACGCACACACACACACACACACACACACACAGTTACTACAGACAGAAATCAAAGCTTCATGTTGT